GGTCTGCAACAGGGGGTCTTCAATGGGGGCTGAATGGCCCATGTATGCTCAATGTATCGCTCATGTATGTGATCGGGCATGATTGGCAGCCAATGTCGGCGGTCATGGAGGGCCAGTCGTTCGTGCCCGCGCGTTGCCCGCGCGGGCGCCTGCGCCGTCCATCCATTATCGTTCATGCGTTCGGGCGTTCTTGCATATTGCGCGTGGGGCGGCGAAGTGGAGTGCAAGTGTCTTGATTGTGCGATTGATGATCGCCTATGTTCCCAAAAGATGACTTGTCGACCCCCAAGACAGATTTGGAATGGGTCCCGCGTTTCTCCCAACATATGAATTCACATTTTCCTTTTTTCCGACATGTGAATTCACGTGTTCCTTTTCCAAAAATGTGAATTCACAGGCTGACCCCTTCATAATGATTCGTACACAAAATTACAAAATGTGAATTCACATGTTCCGTTTGTCCAAAATGTGAACTCACATTTTCCTTTTTCCCTAAATGTGAATTCACATTTTGCTTTTCCCCAAAAGGTGAATTCACATTTTGCCCTGGCCTTCAAGATCCCCAAAACTGAGGCGCGGTGTTCCGCGTGTCAGATTGGCTGGGCAGATTTTGACACTCACCTCGCTGCTTTCGTTTATTCAAATCTTTTTTTGCGCCCTCAGCGCACGTTGCCTTCGTCGCCTTTCCCGAGCCCCCCGCCCCCGTGCTTCGTTTACCCTCAAGCCTCGCCCATGGGTGCAGGCAGGGAGCTTCAATTGGTTCCCCCGCCGAACACAACAATCGAGGATGCATCGCCCATGCCTGGCCCAAAAAGACACCATTGCCGGGACCCTACGCCCGACCCCCAATTTCACCCTCCAACCAATTCCCAGCTCCGCGTTCCTGGTTCCCGGTTCCCTGTTCCATGTTCCGGGCTCCCGGGAACCCAGGAACCGGAAACTGGGAACCGGCCAGGTCCGAGTTCCCTGTTCCAGGGTTCCCGCGGCTCCTGGTTCCGAATCCTCCAAGGTTCCTGGTCTCTCTCGCTCTCTCTTTCTCCCTCTCTCTCTCTCTTTCCTCTCTCTCTCTCTATTTCTCTCTCGTCTCTCTCCCTCTCTCAATCATTTTGTATTGCTGTTGTTCCGTGCTTCTCTCTCTCTCTCTCTTTCTCTCTCTCTCTCTATAGATATATATGTATACATCATACAAATATATCAACTATCCACTTACGCGTGAAAACAACACACCTATATACTACACCTGTGAATGTACGGGCCGCACCCCCTCTCTTAAATACCCTCACTCTCTATGTCTCTCTCTCTTGCTCTCTTCCACTCCCTCCTCTCTCTCTGTTTATGTAGCCTTACCTGTGTGTTTCGAGTTAACCCTATGTGTGTGTGCATTTCTGTGAGAAGACGTTCATGTGTACAGTTTTTTTTTGGTTTCCCCCCCCCCATATATGTGTATATATATATATATATAAGTTTGTATTTCACTCGTACCGATTGGTGGTGTATATCGATGACTCTATGTGTGTCAATATCTTTCGGTTCTCTGTTTGCGCACATGTACAGTACCCATTATATATCAGGACTTACGCTTGATTGGTGCCTCCCTCTCTCTGCGACCTATCTATCACGATGTCATATATGTACGTTTTCGTGTAAGCATCTGTATGCACACAAATGCTTATGCATACATAGCAATACTGCATACAACATTATGTGAGTACACATAAGATTATATGACTGGCTGCGAGTACAAATGCATTGAGGTGAACCTGGCACGGTAGACACAAACATGTACTTGCGTAACTCGTTGGTTCTCTCTACCTCTCCTTCTCTCTTTATAGTACCTTCCTCCCCCTTTACAACGACATACAACCATATGTACCTACATACATAGATGCACATGCCCCGAACGTGGCGCACCTGGCGCGGCTGGAGTATGCGGCACACCTGACGCACGCGGAGCACGTGGCGCATCTGACGCACCAGGCGTGCCTGGTACGCTCGGGCCCCAGGGGTGCCTGGCGCGCGTGGCGCACCTGGCACACGTGGCGCACCTCGCCCCAGCGTCGCGCACTTGGGGTCGGTTTTGGTTCTCAGTAGGGATCCAAAGACGACCGTTGAGCATGCTGAAGCTCGGTTGTTACGTATGTGTTGGGAGGGCGGGTGGGAGTGAGCTAAACGGCTTGCTATCTAGGGGGTGTCATTATCACTGCTCCCTACTCATATACACCCCCTCCCCCACCCAGCCGGCGGCCAACCCGGAACCATGACGACCCCATGGGCCCCCCCCCTCCACCATCCCTTTCAACAAATCATGCAAAGCGCACTCTGCGTCCACATTTGGAGCATGCGCGGCAGCCCCGCGACCATTGGGGGTGCCAACAGATCCCACGTGCCTTCTGGGCGCAGGTGGTCGACCGACTGGTTAGACACATCAATGGCTGCTGCCTTTTCGCCTTACCGTTTCCGATGGGATGTCGAAGCCTCCACATGGCTCCAAAATTGGCTAAGACAGCTCAAACAAAGCCAGGCCCAAGAGCCCCTAGCGGTTCCCAGTGGCTGGCGCACCTGGCGCGGCTGGAGCACGTGGAACACTGGGCGCACGTGGAGCACGTGCCGCACCTGGCGCGCCTGACACGCTTGGGCCTCCAAGGTCTGGTGCATCTGGATCCCGTGGCGTCTGCGGGGTTCTTACGCGATATGCTGACTCCTGGGTGTTACGTATGTGTTGGGAGGGCGGGTGGGAGTGAGCAAGACGGCTTGCGGGCAGGTGGGAAGCTTGACCCCCCCCCCGTACCCCCCCCTTGGCCCGGGAGGGGGCGGGGCCCTAGCCGGCAGACAACCCAAGATGGCTCCTAGAGGGCCCTCGGTGGCCCAAGACGGCCTCCAAGATGGCTCATGATACCTCAACATTGCCCACGATAGCCTCCGACATGCCTCGAAGACGTCCCGAAGGCAGCCCCCCCAAGAGGGTTCCGAGTGCCCTTCGAGCCTCCCAAGGCACCCCCAAGAGGCCAACATCCTTCAAACACTGGAGGAACAGCAAAGTTTGTGGGTTTCTCGCTTTTTCGCTTCCGATAAGCCTCTTGGGTTTCAATATGGCTCAAGAGAGGCCCAAGAGAGGCCCAAGAGGGGCCCAAGAGCTCCCAAGAGGCGCCCAAGAGCGACCCAAGAGGCCATCTTGGAGCTTCCGAGGGGGGGACTTAAATTGATGCCCCCCGCTTCTTTGATCGATTTCCTCCAGGATGGCCCCGAGAGAGCCCAAATGGGCGTCCAGCACCACCAGGGAGGCGCCCAGCATCACCAGGGATGCCCTCAAGAGGCCCCCACGAGAGACCAAAGAGGCTCCAAGAGACTCCTCCGAGGTATCGAAGACGCTCCAAGAGGCCCCAATAACCATAAAGACCTCTCCTCCTACTCCTCCTCCTCCCCCTCCTCCCCCTCCTCCTCCTCCTCCTCCTCCTCCTCCTCCTCCTCCTGCTCTTTCTCCTCTCTCATTCGGGGCAATCTGACCTTATGCTTTTCCTAAACCCGTTCGGGGGGGAGGGGAACCAAACTATCGGCAACGAGTGACGCAACGAGGGCCGCATGCAACCTCCTCTTTCCCTTCCCCCCCTCCGCCATCCTCCTCCTCCTCCCGCCTCCGCCTCCGCCTCCGCTCCGCCTCCGCTCCGCCTCCGCCTCGCCTCCGCCTCGCCTCCCCGCCTCCTCCCCTCCTCCTCCTCCTCCCTCCATCCTCCGCCCCGCCTCCGCCTCCTCCTCCTCCTCCTCCTCCTCCTCCTCCTCCTCCTATTCCTCCCTCCTCCTCCTCCTCCTCCTCCTCCTCCTCCTCCTCCCTCATTCGGGGCAATCTAATCTAATGGTTTTCTCAACCAGTTCGGGAAATCATTGGCAACATAGTGGTGCAGGAGCCCCTCCCCGATGACGTAACCGTTGCATTTCAAGATTTGTCGACGAGGACGCCAAGACGACCCCAATAGAGCCAAAACGGCGCCAAGTCGACCTGTTCAAGCTACATTTTGACCGCTCATGAAAACATGTTCCCGCCCCCCGCCGAAACCCCGAAGGGCATCCAAGGCGACTGTCGCACTTTTTGCTTCTACGCTGCCCTCATCAAGGCAACTCGCCTGGCGATCGTGCCTGGATAAGCTGGTGGGGAAACGCGACGCGTCAATCATTTATGCAATCCAGAAGCCACCTCAAACGACAACCAATGTTTGAAGGGGGACCACCCTTTACTCATGCAATTGTTCCACAATTTGAAGCTGCGGGTTATGAGTGAAACAATCTTAAGCGAGAGCATCACCTTGCAACGGTACATACTGACCTCTGTGCGTACACGTGATTTAGTTCGAACGAGTGTGCACGACACCAAGAGGCGAAACCCTGTTTTGAACATGGAGTGCCATCCATCTGTGTAACTCCGGATGTGCTTAAGACGAGCGTGCGTGTCGCGAAAGCGAGAATCCCATTTTGAAGCGGAGAGGACGTCTCACGCGAAACGCCCAGCCCGCCCCAACGACACGTCTGGTGCGACAGGGGTGGAGTATCTACAGTGAAAAGGCATGGGCGAGGACGATTCCCCGCTCCTCTTGCCTACTCGGTTTTCTTCCCCTCCGCCTGGCTCTTGGCCAGAGTAGAAGGATGTGAGGGTCTCAGCCCTCATTGACAAACCGATACCCAGCGAACGCGAAAGGAACACGACCACACAAATGACCACAGGCCAGTTTCAAAAAGCAGTGGCCTCGCCGCAGAGGCATGAGGCTGGACAAGTATACTTGAACCAGACATTTCATGAACTTGTTAGTCAGGAAACTTTTGCCCGATGGGGTGTACGGCTGGCACACCTTCAAATGGTTTTGGCGCTGCTTCGGGTCAGGAAGAGGAAGAGGAGGAGGAGGAGGAGGAGGAGGAGGAGGAGGAGGAGGAGGAGGAGGAGGAGGAGGAGGAGGACGAGGAGGGGGAGGAGGAGGAGGTCTCAACCACACAATGCCGCCCCAGGGCCCCGCCATATCCGACCGTCGTCAGCACGGCCGCGGTGAAGTAGAAACAATCGACCGCCGACCAGCCCTCCTGCGGGGTCGCGCGCCGGCGGCAGCTGGCAGCGCTGGCCATCAACATCGGCCCTCAGACCTCTCCCGGGGTCACCCCGAGAGTGTCCTGACCGGGATATCGGGCACGATTCTGGCCGTGGTAAGGCGGGAGGCCCCCCGAGAACTCAGGAGGAGGAGGAGGAGGAAGAGGAGGAGAAATTCGGGGGATGAGGCGGACCACCTCCTCCCACTGCCGCTCCCGTCGTCGTCGCCCCAATGGCCGCCGCCGCCGTCGCTGTCGTCGCCATCGCCGTCGCAACCGCCGCCGCCGCCGTCACCAACCGCCGTCGCAGCCTCAGGCCGCCCTCGTCGCCGCCGGCAGGACCGATCCGCCGGCCTCCGGGCACGCGACCACAGGGTTGCACAGAGGCCCCCAGGCGGCCACCCGCACAGAGTGGGCCCTGGGCAAGAGCGACCCTTGGGGTGCGCGGCCCTGGCCCCCGCGCGTGCCGCACGCCGCTTCGATTTCGGCACCGCCTGATCCCAGGGCTTTGCCCTCTCTTGGCCTTGACGTGAGGCCCCGCCTTCTTTTGCCTCCCCCCCCTCTGCTAATTAAAGCTGTGCGCGGCCCGCTTAGCTTCTATCGGAAGAGGCTCGCTCTCGACCCGCGGACCAAAAAGTGCCGCACGCCGCTCTGACCCATAGCCCAAGGAGCCCCCGCGGCGTCCCGCAGGAGGGCCCACAACGGAAAATGTTGGCACGAAGGGGCAGTGGCCCTGGAAGAGGCGGGTCTCGGACGCCAGGACTTCCCTCGGGACAGACTCTGCATCCTCGACGGCCCTGGGTCGGGACAAGCCCACGGGGGGGCCGAACACGGCGAACGACCTTCAGGACGCCTTTCTGGACGTCCGACCTCGTGATTTCTTCAATGGGGGGTGGCCCGAAGTCCCGACCCCTTCCCGCAAGGCTGGCTCTTCATCCTGGTTGTTCTTTTCAAGGCCCTGGAGCCCAAAGATGGCCTCTGGGGGCCCAGCATGGTGAAACATCTGCCCCGGTTGTTTCGAAAGACGTTGGACGTATGCATGAACTCCAGGACTTCCCCGCGCTGCCAGCAAACCACGGCGAGGATGACGAGGACGCTGGCCGAGCCGCCGAGCATGGCACGCCCGAAACGGAGACTGGCACAACGAGGCGGCGCCCAACAGCAGACGTTGTCCCAAGCCGACAGCGGCCGCTGTTTGGCAGGCGCCCTCTTTGCAAAAAGTTGACAGCGAGTCCTGTTCATAATGGGCACTGCTTTGGCGGCGCCCACTACAGGGAGGCGCGAGGGGGTCGGTTTTTCCAAGAATGCGAGGGAAGGGGGGTCCCTCGCCTTCTTGGAGAGCCCCCTTACCTTATTGGACCCCCCCCCTGTCTTCCCAGTGGAACGCCCCCTGCCCTATCGGAAGCCTTCGCCTTCTTCCCCAAGCAGGCGACGAGGAACCCCCCTCGCCATCCCGCGCCGCCACCCCCTTGCCGCCAGGGCACTGCCTCCTCCTCCTCCTCCTCTTCCTCCTCCTCCCTCTCCTCCTCCTTCTCCTCCTCCTTCTCCTCCTCCTCCACCTCCTCCTCCTCCTTTCCTCCTCCTCCTCTCCTCCCTCCCATCTCCTCCTCCTCCTCCTCCTTCTCCTCCTCCTCGGGCCGCTCCTCCTCCTCCTCCTCCTCCTCCTCCTCCTCCTCCTCCTCGCCTCCACCTCGTCGCGCTCGGTCGCGCCGACAAGCGCAGGCCGAGCGGCCCACGCACGCGTCCTGCCACCAGAAGAAGGCCACCGCGAACCCGAAGTACAGCGCCACGGTGGCCAGCGGCGCCGCCAGGAGCCTCGCGGGCGCCGCCCCCCGCGCCTGCCCGCGCCTCCTCGAGGTTCGAAGCTCGGGGGGAGGGGGCACGGGGAGGTTCGAAGCTCGAGGTTCGAGGTTCGAGGGTCGAAGGTCGGAGTGCGCAGTTCGGAGGAAGGGGCATGGCCGCAGCGGGGGGGCACGGGTCCGCCAGGGCCGAGGCAGCGCCACAGCGGCGGGGGGCACGTGCGGCGGGCGTCGACGCGGCCGTGGGCTCGGGCGGCGAATCCTCTCCGCTTCTGCTCATTGTGGATCTGGAGAGCGCGCGCGATACGTCGCGCTGTGTGCATCAGCGAGGGGTCACTGGGAGGATCAGGCGGATAGGCGTCCGAGGTTCGACGAGGAGGAAAAGGAGGAGGAGGAGGAGGAGGAGGAGGAGGAGGAGGAGGAGGGGGAGGATGAGGAGGAGGAGGAGGAGGAGGAGGAGGAGGAGGAGGAGGAGGAGGAGGAGGAGGAGGAGGGGAAGGAAGAGGCATACTTTCCTCGGAGCCCTACTGGCAGGACCATGTGCAACCGACCAGACGGACTGCGAACGCCGCTTCGCGAAACCTGATTTTCTCACCGGGCGCCGTCATCCTCGAGGTCTGACTGGGGCATGTGCTGGGGGGGGTAGAAGGGGCAAACTGACATGTCTTTCGGACGACTTGGCCCGCCGACGGACGGTATAGAGTTCAAACTGACTCCTCACTCCGATGGTGAAGGTGAAAGCTGTCCCAGATACGCTTGAGGGCAGACTTGCCCGAGGGGCCTGCTCTCTCGAGCAGCTTTTGGCTAGCGCGAAGCAGGGCGTGCCCGTGTACTCCACAACGGGCAAAACACGCGAGAGAAGTGTGCAATTCTTTTCGCGCAGTCGTGGCGCAGAGGAAGTGCTCTCGTTCGGATTCGTCCCTTCCAACGTGTTCAAGACCGTGGGCGGCTGTCCATTACACCCCCACAGTGCCGCGCTCCGGGGCCCAGGCCACCCGTGCCACATGGTAGCCACCGGGGCCATAGGACGTGGCCCTTGGGGATGCTTCTGGGACTCGTAACCTCGCTCGTTTGGGGATCTGTTTCTTTCGTCGCGCCGCTGTTTGCATGTCCCCGGCAATCCTGTGGTGTTGGCTCCTTGTTTTGAACACGCATCGCCCCGCGTCCTCCTTCCCCTCCCTCCTTCCTCCTCTCCCTCCTCCCCACCCTCCTCCTCCTCCCTCCCATGCCTGCCTCTGCCCACCGCGTGTCAATTTCGGCGCACCCCTCACACTCTTCGTGGCCCCTACATGGGGGCTCCACCCGAGGCCCACATGTCTGGACCCGAATGCCTTCTCCACGCAATGTCGGCACACCCTCACACGTTCCGTGGCTCCATAAGGAATTCCACCTTGACCTCACTGCCAAGGCCCGCGCGCCATGTCCACATCATTTCGGCGCACCCCTCCCACGGTGGCTGTGCCCGCATGCCTGGTCCACGAAATTTCGGAGCACCTCTCATACGTTAGGGAGCCTCATCGAAGGCCCCACTGCCAGTGCCCGCACGCCTGGTCTATATATTTTCGGCGCACCACCCACACATGTCGTGGCTCAATAAGGGCTCTATCCGAGGCATTCCCGACCGACCCCACATGAGGGCTTCACCGAACACGATACTCATAACTACGGTACCCACCACTGCATATGGTTGTGTCTTTCGCCAAGCTAGTTATTTCGTCATTTCGTGACCTATGTCTATAGTTGGTTTCCTCGCTCTCTCTCCCTCACACACGCTATCTCACGATACATATATATTTAGATATGTACATATATATGTATGGAACTGTGTTTATGCATTATATACGCATGTATGCATGCATGTATGGATGTATGTATGTATGTATGTATGTATGTATGTATGAATGAATGTGTGTATGCACGCGTGTGTGTATGTATGTATATATATGTATATATGTGTGTATGCATGTATGTATGCAGGTACGTATATATGTATGTATGGTTGGATATACATGTATATGCAGATTTGTGTGTATGTGTATGTATGTATGTATGTATGTATGTATGTAGGTATGCATGCGCGCATGCATGTATGTATGTATGGATGTATGTATTCATGCATGTATGTATGTATGTATGTATGCATGTATGCATGTACGTACGTATGCATGTATGTATGCATCCATCCATGCATGCATGCATGCATGCATACATGTATGTATGTATGTATGCATGTATGTATGTATGCATGCATGCATGTATGTATGTATGTATGTATGTATGTATGTATGTAGGTATGTGTGTATGTATGTTTTTGTATGTGTGTATGTATGTATGTATATATGCATGTCTGTCTGCCTGCCTGTCTGTTTGCCTGTCTGTCTGTCTGTCTGTCTGTCTGTATGTTTGTATGCATATATATATATACGTATGTATGTATGTACTTATGTTTGTGTGAACATATGTACATATATATATATATGCATGCGTGTATGCATGTACGTATGTATGTATGTATGCATGCATGTATGTATGTATGTATGTACGTATGTACGTATGTATGCATGTATATGAGGTAACACTATGCACATATAAATATAAATGTGTATATGAGGAAAAAGAGGAGGATAAGGAAGAGGAGGAGGAGGAGAAGGAAGAGGAGGAGGATGAGGAGGAGGAGGGGGAGGAGGAGGCGGAGGAGGATGAGGAGGGGGGAGGGAGAGGAGGAGGAGAGAGGGAGGAGGAGGAGGAGGAGGAGGAGGAGGAGGAGGAGGAGGAGGAGGAGGAGGAGGAGAGGAGGAGGAGGAGGAGGAGCGGAGGAGGAGGAGGAGGAGGAGGAGGAGGAGGAGGAGGAGAGAAGAAGAGGAGGAGGAGGCGGAGGAGGAGGAGGAGGAGGCCGAGGAGGAGAAGGAAGAGGAGGAGGAGGAGGAGGCGGAGGAGGAGGAGGAGGAGGAGGAGGCGGAGGCGGAGGAGGAGGAGGAGGAGGAGCAGGAGGAGAAGGAGGAGGAGGAGGAGGAGGAGGCGGAGGAGGAGGAGGAGGGGGAGGAGGAGGAGCAGGAGGAGCAGGAGGAGGAGGAGGAGCAGGAGAACGACGGCGACGACAGCGAGCGGTGCGGCGCCGTGGCGACGCCGCGGGCGCCGGCGCCGAGGGCTCCGCGGGCGCGGGTGGGTCGCCGCCGCCGCCGGGCCATGGCTGCTGCTGCCACGGGGCCTCCGCCTGGGCGCGGGCGGCCCGTGCCACGGAGGGGGTCTCGCGCGCGGGGACGCGCCGCTCGCCCCTTGTCGGCGCTGGCGTGGGCTGGCGCGTGGGCTGGGCTCGGCGGTGTCCGCCGAGGCAGCTCCTCCTCGTGCTCCTCTGCCGCCTCCGAGGCTGCTGCTGCTCGGCCCTCGCTGCCACGGCCGGACTCGTTCCCCGGAACGCGCCGGGCGAGGTCCTGGGGAGTGGCGGGGCTGGTATCTTTTTGCTCTCCCCCTGCCCTCCTCCTCTTCGGGGGTTGCGAAAGGTGCCCCTGGCCCAAGGTGCCCCCAGCTTGTCGCTCAACATTCTCGAGCCTCTGGGGTCCTCTGGGCTTCGTGAGGGGCGCTCTGGAGCCTGTGGGGGCCTCCTTGGAGATCTTGGGGGCAGCTTGGGCCAGGGGCACTTCTAAGCAGCCGCCCCCTGCACGCTGCGGTTCCCGCGTTCGCTCCCCCCTGGCACGCCTGCTGGTGCTCATTTCGGTAGGCTGCGCACCTGTTATTATTCGCGACGGTGCCGTCAGCTCGCCGGGGGAGGTAAAAGTTCCAGCCCTCCTCTGCTGGGCTGACTACATCCTTTTCTGGCTGGGCTCGGAGGCGCCGCAAGAGAAACGGTCGTCGGCACGGCCTTCGGCGCGAGTAGGAAAATAAGCAAGGGGAGGAGGAGGAGGAGGAGGAGGAGGAGGAGGAGGTGGAGGAGGAGGAGGAGGTGGTGGAGGAGGAGGAGGAGAAGGAGAAGGAGGAGAGCAGGAGGAGCAGGAGGAGCAGCAGGAGGAGCAGGAAGAGGATGATGAGGAGGAGGAATAGGAGAAGGATGAGGAAGAGGAGGACGAGCAGCAGGACGCTCTTCTGGAGCGCAACAAAGTCACAATGCATCATCCCGAGCTGCTCGCATCCCATACTTGTGGACGCTGCGGTACAAGTCTCGACGCGCGCTTTTGGCGACATTGCGGCGCCCATGGGGCCGTTCGCGGTCCTGGGGCGCCATACAAATAGCCCACAGCAGGATGCTGGTTCCGTGGATGGGTTCGACAACTCGGGGTGCCACGTCGCGAAACAAACGCGCGCGACGCGGAGGTCTGTGGGGGGAGGGTGGAGGAGTATTGATCCAGGATTTCGGTACGCAGGGGCAGGGTCCCCCCCTGGCGGGGGGAGGGGGAAGAGGGGGCTGGGGAAGGGGGTAGTGGCTTTCTAAACGTGTTTTGGTCCATGTGTGCGCGTGCGTGCGTGGGCCTTGTTTGTTATACGCTGCCGAGGCGTGCGCTGAGGCAACCAAATTTTCCACGGGACCCTGAGCGAAACCGGCATCGACACCAAGAAGTAGGAGGGAAGTGGGAACAGGGCGGAGCAATGAAAGAGGATGGGGGAGGGGAGAAAATACAAGGACGGATGCAGCAATGATGCAGGATGGGGGAGTGACAAACCAGGGTGGGGGAGGAAGATGGGTGGAGGAGCGATAACCAGTAGGATAAGTAGATCTACTTTGACCATGCGCTGTGCGTTGCTGCACCCTGGTGCCTTGAACGTAGTGCATCTAGATGGGCACCCAGAGGGAGGATGGTCGATGAAGGAAGGATAGGGGGTAATGGGTTCAGGACGAGAGCGGGGCTTTGCAATGCTCCTACGCGCGTTGGAGGCCTTCGTGGAGCCCTGTTGGTGGCCTCGGGCCGTCACCGTGGGTGCTGCTCTCTGTCCTCCACACGGCCTTCCCCCCTCGTCGGCTGTCCCCTCTTTGCAAGACGAAGCCAGGACGAGGAGAACGTCGGGCGAGGATTGGCCGAGAATCTCTGAGAGCCAGCGGCTCTGGAGCATGCCTCGGGCGCCGCGGCCTCCTCGGAGCGCCCCAGAAAGCTCCGAGCGCGTTCTGGAACGCCCTGGAGCGGATTCCTACTCGTCCTGACCTCGGCCGACTTTCCCCTTCCAGCGTCTCCCCTCGCGACTGCTCCCTCGCGAGCGCTGCCGCCCGATCCCCCCAATGGGTGGAGCTGGCCTCTCCGTGCCCGCGTGCGCCATGGCCGTGCCCGCGCGCCGCTCTTCGCTCGATCTTGTGCCCTGCGTCGCGCCGCCGCGCGCGTGGCCGCGACGCCAGGAAGCGAGTCTTTTTTTGTTTGTGTGTGTGTGTGCGTGTGTGTGTGTGTGTGTGTGTGTGTGTGTGTGTGTGCCTGCGTGCGTGCGTGCGTGCGTGCGTGCGTGCGTGTGTGTATACATATATATATATATATATATATATATATATGTGTGTGTTGTGTCGGTGGCGGGCGAGGGGGGGAAGCGAGAAGGAGAAAACCCTCTCAGAAAGCGGCGGGGTTTCTCAGAAACCGCTTTGCCGTCCGACACGGTCTCCAGTGTCCTCGGGGAAGGCTTAGGCAACTCCTCAGAAGGCCAGGGGTCTTCCGAGCCTTGTGAGAAGGCCCGCCCCTTCCCATTCCCCCTTCCCCCCCGCCTCAGCGCCAAGTGTGTTTGTTTGGTGCATCGGCTATGGGCGACCTGTCGGCGCGTCGCTGAAGGCACGCGCGTCGCTGCGCGCGCGCGTGCCCGCAGACTGACATCTGCGTGGGGTGTGCGGGTGCGCGAGATTGAGCGTGCGTTCGCTCGTTGAGTAGATCTGTGGCTGAGGCGCGTCTTGACCGGCTGTCTCTCACAGGCACCTGCGTGCATACGCGCACGCATGCTCTCACAGCACACACCACGCACACACACACACACCACACGCAACCCACAAGCACAGCTCACAGATAAAGTACAGCGCGAAGCACACGCACCTGCGCAGCAACTCACACATACAAATGCAACGTGCAACATAGTTACAGCGTGCGCACCACTCCCTATACTTTCACTACGCTGACGCAGTGAACATCTCGGACAGCACATGACACCACATTATATGTAAGCAGCGAGCACAACACACAACACAATATACATAACAGATGTACTACACTCACCGACGCCCGCTCCTTCGCAGATTCACACGTGTTGCAACCAAGTTGATCATGGTGCGCCGTATGTAGCCCCGCCTCAAGCCCCTTCCGTCAACAGCATACTCCTCCACAGCACGTGGCAACACCAGCACGCTCACTTTCGGAAGCGCGTAGAGCACTTCCATGGCCGTGCGGTGTACGACCTGCTGCCGAGATGCGTTCAAAAGGCTACCGCGAAGCCATGCATCCCTGGTACAGCCGGAAATTGGGCCGCTGGTGCAGCTTCTCTGGTGCCCTGACTCGCTCGACCCCGAGGGCGACACTAGGCAGGACGACGAGGAGACGGGAGGAGGAGCGCTCATCGGACCAACCTCAGGCGCAGGTGGTGTTCACGCCTACGCTGCCCCGCATGCACTCCGTGGCAGCCCGGTGGTGGGTCTGCGCGACCCCTACTCGGGGGCCGAAGACAGGCCCCACGAACCCGCTGTACACGCACGCCCCCCGGCCTTGCACGGGTCGCTGCACGAGCGGGCAGCTTCGTCCCTTCTTACGCCGTCGCCGGTTGGCCACCCTCAAAGCCAGAGACGGCCCCGGAACGACCAGGCCGACCATTGTCCTCCTCCTCATTTTCTTTGCCTTTTCTTCCTTTTCCTCTTCCTCCTCCTCCTCCTCCTCCTTCTTCTCCTCTTCGAAGATCGAAGTTTTAGAAAGCGTTTGGCCATGTTGGGGCTCGGTAGGCCTCAATGGGGACCTCTTGAGAACTCGAAAGGCTTCGCCAGAACTCCAGGAGCGCTCCAAATTTGGAGCCCCGGGCTGCCAGACTCAGCCGATCCTGGCTGCCAGTTGGCCTCCAGAGGCTCCTGCCTGGTCGTCCCTGTGCCCCCTGGCCCTGGAGGGCGCACAGCCCACAGCGGCTCTTGAGGTGCTCCGCCGCAACCCAGTAAAATGTTTCCAGCTCCGCAATGCCCGACTCGGCGCCCCGCTCGGGCCCGCAGCAGCGGGCCGCGGCCCCGGCGCGCCCGGCGGCCTCGAAGGCGCGCTCGTCGAGCTGCACCACCTCGGCGTGCAGCTGCTCCGCCAAGCTCCCCGCCAGAGCTCCCGCCACGCCGCCGACGATCTTCGCCTCCGCCCGGGCGCGGACGCTGTGCCGCAGCACGCCCAGGGCCTCCGCGCCCTCCTCGTGCAGCACGCCCAGCGCGTCCAGGAGCGGGCCCAGGCCCGCGCTGCCACCCTGGACGGCCGCGAGGGACACCGCGGGGGTCAGGATGAGCCAGAGCGCGTCCACGTTGTCGGCGCCTGCGTCCGCCATGGGTGCGGTGGCGACCGCCGCGGCCACCGCCCCGGCCCTGCCCTGGGCGGCGAGGAGCGCCTCTACCGTGGCGGGGACCTGCGCCTCGAGCCGGGCCCCGGCCGCCTCCAAGAACCTCTTGGAGGACGCCTGGCGCACGGCCCTGGCCGCAACGCTGCCGGAGGCGCTCCTGGCCGGGGCCGCGATGGCCTCGCGGTCTTGGAACACCACGCTGTAGAACAGCCTACTGGGCGGCTCCGGCAGCCGCTCGGGCACCACCTCCTCCTCCTCCACCTCTGCCGGGGTGGGGTCCGTTGTGACCGCGGCCCTGACATGCTGTCCGTCGAGCTGCTCCTCCAAGAGTGCTGGCACCCTGGTCATGAGCATCGCCTTGACCTTGGCATTGACTCTCTCCTCTATGGCCGGCCACCTGTCATCCTTGCCCATGGCTCTGAGACTCTCACGAAGAGACATGAACGCGCGCGCGAAGCGCTCGCCTTTTGCCTCGCTGACCAGCGTAAACATATCGAAATGCTTCACAATCATCCTCATGGTTGCCGCGAGACCATGAACGGACTTTGGGATAACCTCCACGATAAAGCCCTTCTCACCCAGCTTCTCGGGCAAGATAATGACAAACTTCCCCACGAGCTCCTGCATGAATGACCCGTCCGAGACCACCCAACCCAGTGCCCAACCAAACCAAGAGCCGCCCATATCCGGCACCACTTCTTCTTTATTCTTCACATCCACCACAATATCAAAAACAAAGGGCTC